AGTGATCGAGGGATAATGCAACTTTTGACTCATTTGGAGCGACAAAACCAAACACTAGAGTGCATCAATATATCTAACAACCCCGGGAGAATTCTTCTCGAAAGATTTCAAGTATCCATGAGTCGTTTCTCGCACGTTCGCAAGCTCGACCTTTCCATGATCACTCGTACATCTGGTGATCAACCCCTTTTTGTTCCTGAAGTCATGCTCTCTTGGAGGTTGGAGGAACTGATCTTGAATGGGATTCCTGTAAGTATGCTACCCTTGATCTGAAACTTCTTGCTGACTTGATAGGTAAACGATCAAACGTTGGACACAATTTCTGCCTATCTTACAAGTGATATGTCAAATCAACTTCGCACCTTACAGATGGATCAGTGCAATTTGAGTGGATCGCATGTTGCTCTTCTCATGAGAGCTATGACTCGAGTCGCTGGTGAACCTCGTGACTTGGAGCTTCACGTAAGTGCCAACCGACTTGAGAAGGGGATTAGTGATTTTGTAAAAGCTATTCAAGAAAACTTCACTCCCACCAAACTCGTGGTTCGGATGATTGAATTCACAAAAGAGGATTACTTCAAGCGGTTACTGGAAGCCCTGCGCACCAATACTACGATTCAGGTCCTGGATATTTCGAAAGCGTCCCTTCCATATGATGCAAGTCCGGAGACATGTGAAACCATGCAGAGAGTTTTCGCTGAGAACACCACGCTTGAGGACTTGGATATTTCTGGAGAACAGGCACATCTGGAGGTTACTCGATTCGGAATAGGCTTGAACCAGGCATTGACCGGTCTCAAAAAGAATAATACTTTGAAATCTCTTCGTATAGAGTACCAAAACTTAGGTCTGGAAGGAGCGAATACGCTCTCCTCTGTTTTGGAAGAGAACAGGGGTTTGACGCATATCTTCTGTGAACACAACGATATCAATCTTCAAGGATTCACCATACTCGTCAATGCTATTGCAAAAAACCACACTGTTCTTGAAGTTCCCTATATGCAAGACGATCAAGATATTGCCATGAAACGAATGAGTGCCAGTATGAGGGATACACGCCGCGCCACGAGCTCTTCGGGCCGCGAAAACCACCACGTAAAGAGTTCAGTAAAGCGAACATTGAAAACCTTTGGGGTTGGGGTTGAAAAGCCTATCAAACAAGAATTGACACCTCAAGATGTTGATCAAGTGGTAAAGGTCTTGGCCGAGAAGTGGAATACGGAGATTGGAAGATTGTCTATGTTCCTGGAAAGAAACAGAAACATAGCCATGGGCGTGGAGGGATATGATCCTGTTGAGATTATAGGCGAACACGCCATGCGTCCTACCACAGCGATGAGTGACCGAGGGATTTTGGAACAGGTTTTAAGCAACACGACGCCGAGGATTGAGCTGGGAAATCCAGTCGAAATCACAAATGATCGATTTTCTGGCATGACGCCATTAGCAGAGGTGATGAATCCTATGGAAATGGAAAACGAGAGGCCCGTGGATGAAATCGAGAATATTCAATTCAAACGTATACATTACAAACGCAGTAAGGATGGAGGTCTACTGCCTGATTTGCCTTCTCTGGGCAGTGAAAATATGTTTGGATTGGAGGAAAGGGAAGATACTACTCAACTTAAACCCAAACGCATATCTTACAAACGCAGTAAGGATGGGGGCTTACTGCCCGATTTGGGTCCGTTGGGTAATGAAAAGATGTTTGAGTTGGACAGTGGGTTGTTTGAAATGGAATCTTGATTCATTGAATTCAGATTTAGTACTTTGCAGATGGATTATTTGTGCGATCTTTGCTTGCTTTAAATCGCGTTGCATTTGGGATGGAGTTACGGAATTGGTTTACTACTTTACTCGCACTAAAAGCCAAAAAGTGAAAGCATACTTGCAAGCGCGCGTAGCAAAGAATACAGCTATACGGCTTGTAACAGGGATAGGGAACACTTCTTGCTTTTGTCTCATGGTTGGATTAATGGAAGGGTAGTCGGGAAGTGCAGTCGCATGCATATCTGTATATTGAGGAATGGACGGATTGGGATGGTTGGCGAGGGATACAATCATTGAATTGGGTGAACTTGACTATATTAAAGATACAGGGTACATGGAGGGGGGAAGGGTGTTTTTTTCGGAGTATTTATGCGTGCATCTTTCTGTGATAGGCGTTGGCAGATTGAGGGTTTTTGATAGGGCGTTAGGAAACGAGATTTTTTTTTTTTTTGAGAGATGTTGATTAGAGTGCACTTGGTTGCACACATACGTAGCTGAGCGATTGGTGAGCGAATATTTTGTGTTTGGAAGTTTGTGTTGAATATATTATGAAGGGAGATGGATGGATGTGTGCATGGATGGATATACCAAATGAGCGTTATTCGTAGAGCATTGAATTGAAAATATCTAGGTAGATTGAAATCAATTTATTTTACATACATATATACTTATATGCATATATACTTATATACATATATATAGGTATGTTCATTTACTTTATCTTACTTCGCTTCCCGAGGTCACTATTACTCCCGCTTTAGTATTTCTTGATGAGGGTGATTTATTGATGTATTGATTTATTTATATTTATACTCTCTCTGTGTTTGTTATTAGTATTAGGTATTTATCTATCTTTCTTGATAAATGGAGAGGAAGAGAGAGGAAGAGAGAGGAAGAGAGAGGAAGAGAGAGAGAGGAAGAGAAGAGAGGAAGAGAGAGGAAGAGAGAGGAAGAGAGAGGAAGAGAGAGGAAGAGAGAGGAAGAGAGAGAAGAGAGAGGAGAGAGAGGAAGAGAGAGGAAGAGAGAGGAAGAGAGAGGAAGAGAGAGGAAGAGAGAGGAAGAGAGAGAGAGAGAGAGCTTATTCTTATTGAATTGAGAGATTGATTATAGGATTATAGGTTTGTAGGTTTATAGGATTGATTATAGGTTTATAGATTTATAGAATAGGTTTAGTTTTGAGTTTGGGTTTGAGTTTAGATATATAAGTAGAGTAGTAGAGTAGGTATTAAGAAGCTATATTTTGTTGTTTCTATATAGATAAGGGAATTCACTTAAGGGAATTTACTTTAAGGAAATAATTTCAATATAATAGTAGCTGTATTAAAGGTATTTAAGTAAATGCGAAGGAGACTAGCTCTTTCAGTAGTGCCTATATAAGGCCTACTATTTCCCTTATTAGCTAGCTCCTTAGATTAAATATAAATAGACATTTAGGGGCCTATATATAGTAGGAACTACGTCTTTTGTATCCCTTTTAAACTAATAGTTTCTTTCTTTCTTTCTTTCTTTCTTTCTTTCTTTCTTTCTTTCTTTCTTTCTTTCTTTCTTTCTTTCTTTCTTTCTTTCTTTCTTTCTTTCTTTCTTTCTTTCTTTCTTTCTTTCTTTCTTTCTTTTTTTCTTTCTTTCTTTCTTTCTTTCTTTCTTTTTTTTATTTTTTATTTTTTTAATAATAGTAATTAATAGTAATTAATAGTAATTAATAGTAATGAGATAGGGATAGGGATAGAATAGAATAGTTTCTTTATTATTTGATATAGTGAATAAATAGAAAGTAAAGGAGAGATAAAGAAGAGATAAAGGCGAGAGAATAAAGAAAGAAGAGAGAATAAAATAAATAAATAAATAAATTATATAAATAAGAGAATTTACTTAAGGGAATTCCCTTTAAGAAAATAACTTTAATATAATAATAGCTATATTAAAGGTATTTAGGTGAATATAAAGGAGACTAGCTCTTTTAGTAGTATCTATATAAGGCCTACTATTTTCCTTATTAACTAGCTCCTTAGATTAAATATAAATAGACATTTAGGGGCCTATATATAGTAGGAACTACGTCTTTCATATCTCTCTCAAATCAATATAAATAAATAAATAAATAAATAATATTCTTCTCTACTTTTTTTTTCTTTTCTTCGATTTACTATTATTATTAATCAATTACTTATACGAGGGCGTGTTTTTGATGAGGGCCCGGGTCCGTACACAAGCACTTTTCACATCAAAAATCACCTACTTTAGAATTCAATATTAAATTTAATTAATATTATTATATATTTGAAATTCTATATATAAATAGATTTTAATATAAAATTCTATAATGTGATTTTAGATTTTTTATAAAACCTTTCAATCTAATTAAAATCCATATAGAGTTATTAGGATTTAAAATTGTTATAAAAAATAATATTTATTTTAAGGATTGATATTCTATATAAAATTTATTAATCAATTTCTAATCAAATTTAATAAAATTAATATTAAAATAATTATTCATTAAATCTCTAAATATCTTCTAGTTTTCAAAACTACATAATAAATATTCGAATTATATTTCATTTATAAAAATAGGGAATAAAGCATACTTTTGGTGAGGAAATTCGCTTAAATTCAATCCGGGCCCTTATCAAAAACACGCCCTCGTATTTATTAAGTAATAATAATAAATAATAAATAATAAATAATAAATAATAAATAATAAATAATAAATAATAAATAATAAATAATAAATAATAAATAATAAATAATAAATAATAAATAATAAATAATAAATAATAAATAATAAATAATAAATAATAAATAATAAATAATAAATAATAAATAATAAATAATAAATAATAAATAATAAATAATAAATAATAAATAATAAATCAGATTGCAAGATTCGAGTTTGAGTTTGAGTCTTAAGGGGATACTGATTCTGTATTCACTTCTATATTCACTTCTGTATTCACTTCTGTTTGGGGTTTGATTAGGGATGGAGGAAGGAGTTAGAAGGAGATAGATAGATGGTTTATTCTTACTCTTACTTCTACTTTCGTTTGAGTAGATATACTTTGAGCAGATATACTTCTTCTTTTTCTTCTGTATCTTCAACATCAACATTGACATCGACATCAACATCAACATCGACACTATCAACGCCATCGATAAGTAAACAAAGCAAACCAAAAACAAACAGAAACAGAAAATCAGAAACAAAATCAAAATCAAAAAAAAAAAAAAAAAAAATGTCCACCCCCTCCACCCCCTCACCACAAACCCTCTACTTCGCCTACGGTTCCAACCTCTCTCTCACACAGATGAAAACCCGCTGTCCAGACTCGACATATGTAGGCACGGGTGTGTTGCGGAACTATCGATGGATTGTGAATCAGAGAGGCTATGCTAATATTGTTTTCTGTGGGGATTCTGGGGATGAGTCTAAGTCTGATTCTAACTCCAAGTCTGAGTCCGGAGAGGGAGAAGGAGAGGGAGAAGGAGAGGGAGAAGGAGAGGGAGAAGGAGAAGGAGAAGAAGAGAGAGAAGAAGAGGAAGAAGAAGAGGAAGAGCATTCCAAAAACAAGAAGGATATCAAAAACGAGCATGCAAATGCAACCACCAAACTCCCCTCCACCCCTCAAAATCCTCAAAATCCTCAAAATCCTCAAAGTCCTCAACCCACCGTCTACGGACTCCTCTACACCCTCTCGCCCCGCGACGAAACCCTTCTCGACACAAGCGAAGGCGTCCCCTTTGCATACACGAAAATCTCTCCTCTGATCACCCTCGTATCCGTTTCGCCCTCCCTCGGTGCGCCCACAATATCCTTTCTGTTATCTTTATTTCCTGGTTCCGTTTCCGTTTCCGGAGTTTCAAGTGCCGAGTTGGCATTCCCCCCTCTGCTTCCCTCGTCATCTTTCTCTGCACCCTCTGCACCCTCTGCACCCTCTCCTCCTTCTCTTCCTCCTCTCTCTCTCCCCACCGCCTCCCAACCATCCCAACTATCACCACCCCTCCAAATCCGCGCACTAACCTACATCGATACCCTGCGTATCACCCCCTCGGCCCCCAATCCAGAATACGTTACGCGCATGAATCGCGGGATTCGAGATGCGATTTCCGAGGGATTTCCTCCATCATATGTACAAGATGTGTTGCGTCTTTACATTCCCGCTCGCGAAGAGGGAGGGGACTTCTGAAGATATTGATTATGATGATGATTTTCTAGAGAATTTGAAGAGTTCAAATAGAGAGACGAGACAGGAAGATGGTTTACATAGATAACCCATATTTTCATAGCATTTCAAAATTAAAAATCGCATTGAACAGACCAAGTGCATTTAAAACGTATGTTTCTGTATAATTTGAATCATGATGATCATATCGGTTACTACCCTATATTTGTACACTTTGAAATCCCGCGACTTTTTCATACGTATCTTCCATCTTTCCATTTCACCTCCTTTGGATACATTGTTTCATAATGTCCGCCTTCGTTTTTCATACCCTCCTAAAATGTACCTGCTTGCCACCAAAAGAAGAGATCAACCAGTGATGTCACAGTGCACTCCTCCCGTCATCCATGCGTCTATGTTATGTACCCTTATTATGCCTAAATCCATAGGAAGCGTTGGGTATCGTGTTTCGTTACGACATCAAAAAAAAAGGAAAAGAAAAAAAAAGAGAAAAAAAGTGTACAAGAAAATGAATATGCTGAAAGTAGGAACTCCAATACGATGCAATGTCCAGCGCTTGCAATGCATTTGAAGCATATACTAACTTAATACAGGTGCCACAAAAGATTCATCAATAACTTAATCAAGTGATTGGGTTCAAAAATGGACTGAGTAACAGCTCGTCAGCACTTGGTCGTTTAGTGTGTTCAACTTCGAAAGTTGAAGCCAAAAAGATCTTTGCATCGGAGCTAGCTTCATCTGGTACTGTGGGACTGATTCTTGCACCACCAATCTTGAAGATGGCCTGGAGCTGAGAGCAATCAGGGAATGGGTGAGTACCTGTCATCATTTCAATGACAAGGCAGCCGAGTGACCAAATATCAGCTTTGCGTGTATAGGCAGTTTGTTTGACGACCTCAGGTGCCATCCAAAAGACAGAGCCTTGTAGAGAAGGTCGGTTCTTGTTGTTGCCAGGTCCATTGAGAAGATTTGATGCTTCAATCTTCTTTGAGATTCCAAAATCAGAGATTTTGATTCCACCCTTGTTGTCAACAAGGATGTTTGCACCTTTAATATCTCTGTGAATAATATCTTTACCATGGAGATAAGCCAAGCCAGTAACGATTTGTCGCACAAAACTTCGAATCAATGGCTCTCCCAATGCTCCGTAGGAATTAAGCATGGTTTGGACAGAGCCACCAGGGACATATTCGAGGAAAATGTTGAGATGGTTATCAGATGAGCTTGCTCCAAGGTACTGGACAATGTTGGGGTGCTGGAGATCACGAAGGAAACTAATCTCGCGCTTCAAAGCGTCGATCATACTCTTTTTGCGAGCATCATTTTTACTGTCTGTGCTTGGCGAAGGTGTCTCGACTTGCTTGACCGCAAGAAGTTCACCAGTGACAGCATGCAAAGCCAGGAAAACACTACCAAAGGAACCTTGACCAATGAGTGCACCCTTCATCCATTTACTGTCATCCCAAGAATCACCCTGCAGGAAACTCTCTAGTTCCTCATCTAATTCCTCTCCATCATTATTTAGAGCTTGGGTAATCTCTTTCAGAGAATCTCCAGCTTCTGTACTGCCATCTTCAAAATAGCTATCTCTCACGCTACTTGAATCGTCAGCAGTTACATTAACATTGGTAGTGTCAGATCCGCTGTCAGTCGCAAATGAGACGTAGGATTTGCGATTTGGTTCGGTTGGCGATTCTTCTTGAACGATGTCAAGCAATGAGGAAGCCACCGAATCTCTAAATCGACTACTAGTTGCCCTTGAAAGGTCCAATGGCCTTATTTTTGCTAACTGGCTATTGCCCATGAGCCAAGTATCGGCAATAGTTGGCATTGGAGGTGCATCGGCTACGCTCGAAGCAAAGCTCAAATTACTGGCAACGCTCAAACGACTGTTGACCTTACTAAGGCGAGTGGATCTCCGTAGCGAAAGTCTGGCAGTACGATCAATCTCTTCACGAGGATGGTCAGGGAAGTATGTCGTCAAATCTGATGTGATCAATTCACTTGGAGGCCTTTGTCCAAAGAAGTGGCGTAGACCACCACCTTTCTTACTCGCCTTCTGTCTTGAGCTCTCCCTCATGTCAGCTGGCAATGGCCTTTCAAGATCCTTCGCCGCGTTATAAACGTTACGTTCTCTCTCGGTAATGGACAAGTTGGATCCAGTGGATTGAAACGAGGCAGGTGATAGTGGATGCTGAAGATGGTCATTCCAGGTTTCTCCGAGCATTTTCTGAACTTTGAGTTGACTGCGCTTGTTATCGGATGTTTCAATGGCGCGGTTATGAGTTGTTGTAGCCTCCTCCAACGCGATGCTAGCGGCTCGCTGTAGCTCGTCGTCGCCAGGTTCACCTGCGTGTATCTTTCGCAGGATAAGTCGGTTTCTTTCTGCCCTCTTTTGATCTTTGATGATACGCCAAAGTTCAGCTTCTGGCAATCGACGGCATTGGCTAGGATCCGGATCAACACCAGCAAGAACCCAGAAACAATAGTTCCGATCATGATCCTCACGGTAGCCGAATTTTCTCAGAGTCAATCGCATCACCTCGTCACAAGAGCTACAATCTGCAACCTTGACCACCTTTGTGACACCCTTAGAAGATATCACTCTGATGACATCTTGGTTTGTTGGCAATGAAGCCATGAGTGAGCCGTCGATGCTGGGATTGGCTCGAGTATGACCGGTAGCTAGTCGAGCTATCTGTGGTTGTGTGGGATCAGATGGAGTGGCGGGGCGTCTTCCGGAAATAGTTGCAGCGCTGCCTGGTATGCTAATGTTACTTGAACCATTGAAGTATCCTTGATTTTGGTCTCGCTTCATTTGTTCTGCGGGGCTCATAACACCATATCTTTGTTGTTGTCGTACAGGTCGAACTTCAGAGTTTGTTAATGGTGAGACGGGTCGCGAAACTGCTTTGCTAACGTTCTCGGGGATCGCTGTTGCGGTATTGAATGTATCAAACTGCCTTGAGAATCTCTTATTGGTAGACGTAGACATGTTTCGACTTCCAGAGTTTGTGGGGCGAGGTGAACCAGAGGAAGATGGAGTGTGTGCAAAAGTATCCAAGGTCGCGAAAGAATCCTGTGATTGAATGGTCAATATCGATCCGCGACAATGAGAAGCAAACGAATACTTACCCTATTTCTTTTCTTCTGGTTGGCATATGCCTTCGTCCTGAGCTTCTTGATGCCCAAGAATAAACGAACGCGATCTCCTATTTTTTCAATGCCCATTTCCTGGAGTACTGCTTTGTCCATCTCCAAAAGATTCTCGCCGTTGATATTGTTTTTCTTGAATAACTTCTCATAGTCGCCACAGTTGATGCTTCTCAGCCAGTCGCCAACTTGATCCTCGTCCCATCTCTTCGCAGACTCTGGGCCATCAACATCTGAAAACTCAGATTCTGTCGGGCTCGCGAATGTTTGATTTGTGGCCAACATGGCGGGCGCTCTTCTACTCGATTGAGTAGTGGCTGTTTGTGAATTAGAGGAAAAGGAAGATGAGGACGGGCCCAGCGATGCGGGAAAGGGATTCTTTGAAGCTAGCATTGCCATTGCGTGGATGTCATTAAATAGGCATGAAGGTGGTTGATTAAATTTGCGAAATGGATTTGGAAAAGCAGGAGCGAATTGGTAGTGAAAGTGAATAAATTTGGCGAGATGATTATTTGCGAAAACAAGTCAGAAAATCTGAGGTCCGACGAATGAATATAAAGATCAGATGGCGGTTGTTTGTTTGAAAAGGTTGAAGAACAAATGCTTCAAAGGGAGTGTCGATAGGTTGACGTGAATTGAAGTGGTTTGGGACTTCTTTTTCTTTTTTAGGTAGGAAGGTAGGTCGGTCGGTCGGTAGGTACTTTATGTATGCGAATGAATGCTCAATTGCTCAATGATTGTGGTGCAAGGGATGTCGTTCTTCTTGTATGGCCGATATAGATCTTCCAGGATCTATTTGAATAAGAGTTTATAGATATAACACCTGGTAAAGATCTATCGAAGATTCGTGGATTGTGGAGTTGGGTGGGATAGAATTTAAAGAACAGACACCGAGAGGAAGGAGGTGGAGGCACTTGGAGGGTTGAGTAATACAAGGACGAAGTACGTGCGAGCGTGCCCATGTGAGTTGGGATTTGGGATTAGGGATTAGGGATTAGGGATTGAGCCAATCCGAGGTGGATTGTTGTTGTTGTTGTGAATTAAGTTTGGAAGTGGGAGTGGAGAGGGTTGGAGGGAGGAGGGTTATAGAAGGTTATCCAGGGAAGGCGTTGAGGTGAGGGAGGGTATGGAGTATGTAGGTCGGTCGGTAGTAGGGTTTTCTCACTCAACGAGCAAGAGAAGAAAGTGAATAAATAGAAGAAAGAGAATAAATAGATTCAAATAAAATAGGTGAAATGGAAATGGATATAGAATTATTAATAAACTGCAAATGCTGCAAATGCTGCATACAATCTGCTGGATACTAGATCGCTATTCTACGTACGCTCGATCAAGGTTTTTATGAATAACGACCGACCGAATTCTTGGGTCTCTGTTTGATACCTCGACGCAGGTAAGGTCTGATTCAAGGTTCGACGCTGGATGAAGGGAGCGACGACTGGCTTCACCACGAATCCACGAATCCACGATGTACGAAGTTTTATTAACCTCTTTTCTGAGACAATTATGGACGCGGCTGCCAGAGTAAGCTATCACGCTATGTTTTGTATGAGTGGATCCCAGGGAAAAAGGGAAAAGAGGCGATGAGTGAGGACAGTCAGATCCCTTCTGATTTGCCTTGGGATGAAGATGAAGGGAACAAGGATTCAGCACATATGTACATGCTAAGGCAAAGAGAGGGAAAGGCGCAATCAGAAGATTAACTCAATATGGTCAAGGGTCAAATGATTATGCATCTTTCAAGCCTTTTCCCAGCGAGAAAACTTTTATGATGCTGAGTGTACTGGGTAGATGGATACCTCGTAGATAGATAGATAGACAGACAGATACTTCGTAGATAGCTGTTGGTT